GTCGAAGGGCCCCGCGGACTCCCCCTCGGGTGGCCCCGGCCCCGCCGCATCAGGCCCAGGAGGGTCCCGCCGCCGGCCCAGCCGCCCGACACCCCTCCAGCCACCCCTCTTGCCGCAGGCCGCCGGGTGTGCGGCCGGGTGTGGCCCTCCTACCCCCGCCCCCTTTGGATACCTTGACCCCCGCCTGCATCTCCCCAAGGGCCGTGCGGAGCTGGGAGGGAGGGAGACGAGTCCGGGGACTTCTCCGCTTAGAAAAGGGAGCAGGAGGAGAGAGGTTTGCGTTCCGAAGGAGTCCCTCTCTCCCCCCTGGGCAGGCCCACAACAATCACTTCTTCAGATACACTGAAGTGGCAATTGCCAGTCCATATGCAAACAAGCTTGGAGCATAATAACAAAGGTGTGGATAAAATTATGCCTGGGCTGGAGAGAGAGAGAGAGACATTTTTCTTCCCCTCCCAGAATACTAGAACCGGAGGGCATCCATTGAAGCTGATGGGCAGTAGGTTCAGGGCGGACAAAAGGAAAGACTTCTTGACACAGCGAGTGATTAAAATGTGGGCTGCGCTGCCAGAGGATGCAGTGATGGCCACAGGGAAAAAACAGCTTGGAAAGGGGATTAGATAGATTCACAGAGGATAAGACCATCAATGGCTACTGACTCAACCTTTGGCCTGTTGCTTCAGACCAACAGGGCTCCCCGCCTGAGCGGCTACTAACTGTGGTGACTAAAGAGAACCTCCACGTTCAGAGGCACTGAGCCTTTGCAACCTCAGGGGAAGGCCTTGGCCCATTGGTGCCCTTTTAGAGGAACCGGTTGGCGGCTGGGCGAGGCAGGAGGCTGGGCAAGATGGACCCTCCCTGGCCTGATCCTGCGGGGTTTCTCCGCTCTGCTTCGTTCACTGCCAGCCCTTTCGACCACAAGCTTCTTGCCTTCTGTTCAGGAACTGCACCCCCCTTCCCTCCAACACCTGAGACTGGACTATAATTCCACACTTTTCCCGCCCGACCCCCCAAAAAAGAACCCTGCCCTGGGCTCCCTTGGTCTGTCGCCCATGGTGCGGAGTGGTCAGGGGCACTGAGAGGCTCAGTTTCCCCCTTGCGAACAGAACAGCGGGGCACTTCCTC